TTTACAAACAAAAAAGGAAAGCAAAGGCTTGGGGATGATATTATCCAATTGAGGACCATGAAGTTATTCAAACTGATCTTGTCTGGGAACCTGTTCTCAGGTTTTACTTTCTTAAACACATTTTTAAAGTAGCTTTTGTAATTTTAGCATTTCATAGGGTGATCTGGGAAAGTTTCTTTGGCAAAGTAGTACCATATTTTAATGAGTTTGATGCCACCAAATTTAAGATGCATCATTATTTTATATGTCACATTGCCAATTCTAGTTGATATCATTTGTTATTTCAGAGATGTAAGAATGGGGGTGGGGGCTACAATGGGTGAAATGGATATTTGAATAGAAATCTCAAGGAAGAAAAAGAATCAGGGAAGAGGTGACAGTAGGAAGGAGCAGCAGTCAAAAAGGCCCTCCAGGACTAACGGCAGGAACTCTAAGGAGACCTGTATGTTTGGAGTCAAGTATAAAAGGGGGAAAGTAGTAGTAAAAGAAGGCAGAGGTGGTGAGGCCTGATTATATAGAGCCTGTGGGTCATTTTAAGGACTTTGACTTTTATGCTGAGTGAGATGGGAAGTTACTGGAGGCCTGAGCATTTCCTTATAACAGGATCACTTTTGGCCACTCTGTTAAGAGTAGATTGTAGGAGGCAGGGACCACAGTAGGAAAACAGAATCAGGCAGCCTTAAGAGGCTATTACAAATAATCCAGATGAGAGCACTTCCTTACTTTTAGGCTCAAGATTTTCAAAGGTTCTTTGATATACCTTACCTGTGCCAGTCCTGGAATCAGCCATTTCTCTGAAGAGCCTTGGTTGATTTGGGTAGGGAATGGTATCAGATTGGAATGGAAATGGGAGTCTTACTTCTTACTTTTGCCTTAATCTTCTCTTCATATTTTAAATATTGTACCCTTTTCTTCAGCTTCCCTTGATAGTCCTTAGTCCAGGGGCTCCTTTAGTTAAAAATATTCAGATAGAAAACTTCTGGTCTTCTGCTAGAGGGATAATTTGCCATTTTTAGAGATGGTTTATAGGCATACTAAATGTTTCTTTTTTTTAATCCGTACTTTTGTTTGTAGCTTCATAGGAACCTGGAGCTTCATATCACTGATTCTCATTTTTTCTGTGCCTCTTTGGCACGACATCGCATACTACTTAGTTCTCCTTGCTGCACAGTTAGGTTTCCTTAGTTGCCTATGACATATCAATTTGCTCATCTTTTTTCCATTTTCTAGAAATTGATTGAAATCTCTTTTTTGCTGTCCTTATTTCTTAGTCCTAGTTTAATGCATTTTCTTATCATTTAAATGGGCTTTAGTGAGTAAGTAGAGGTGAATATATCGATTCTACCATATTTAACTACACGTTCTACATATTTTCAAAACAAACTTTTGTCCTTTAACAAAAGTATTGTGATTTATAGAAAATATATAGGTAAGCAAATGAAAACAATTAGCACTAATTATACAGTTTAATGGTAGTTACTGTTAATTTTTCAAGTCCTTTTTTCCATACACTAACTTTATCAAAATAGCTGTATAATATTCCATGGAGTAGGTATCCTATTCTGCTCTTTTTTTTTTTAGATAATCTTATTAGACCTTTATCTTATTGAAATGAACTTCTATGAACTTATCTGTGATATATATGCGTATGATCAGGACATGGGGGTAAACAATAAGGCAGTCAGAAAAACTCAAATTTTTAAAAATAAAAGATTTTAAAGAATATCCCAGAGGAGATCTTGGTAGTTCAGTTTGAGTAGGATTTAATTTCATGGAAGCACAACTGAGAGTAGAAAACGTAACTATTTGTACTATAATTTTTCTAAAGAAGGTCTATTGCTATATCATATAGACTTTCAACCTACCCTGTTTTCAGCCTCATTTGTACGTTTGAGGTAATAGACAAGAGAAAGCTAAGTATGGAAGAGTTCAATAAGCAGTATCAAAGGAAGACTCAGTAATCATAGCATTTAGAAAAGAAATTTGCTTAAAAAGTTTGCAAGGAAATACAAACTTTAGGAGAACTGATTTCCCAATTAAAAATACTATAGATACTTAAAGAAAGAAAGTAAGATTATAGAGTTTATAGCTATTCTATTCATAGTAGGAAAGAAAAGAAATTTGCTTAAAAAGTTTGCAAGGAAATACAAACTTTAGGAGAACTGATTTCCCAATTAAAAATACTATAGATACTTAAAGAAAGAAAGATTATAGAGTTTATAGCTATTCTATTCATAGTAGGAAAAAACAGAGTGTTTTAATGTAATTGTATCTTCTCAGGTCATGATATATCTTCAGATACCGTCTTTGCAGAAGTCAAGGGTAAAATTGTTTTTCGAGAGTCAGTAAATTATAGGAAAGGCTTGAGCTTTTTTTTTATTTGAGGAACTTGGAACTAGATAAGGTAATCCTGGATGTTTTGTTTGTTTACAGAGTACAAAGTATTTTTCTCCCTGACTTTTGGATATGATGTTCATACTTTATAAGGGTGGCAATGAAATGCATCAGTTTTGCCTCCAAGGAAGAGTATTATACCCCTATTATGGAAGTTTTTCATATAATTTTGATCTTTATCCCATGTTTATTTCTTCCTAATAGTTGTCAGGGCTTAAGACTAGGGTAAGACCAGTGAGGGACTAACCTCACTCATGAAATTTAGGAGAGCAACAAAAAACTCAGTAATCAAGATAAATGGTATTTTAATGTATTTTTTTAAAAAAATTAATGCATACTAAGCAAAATACCTATAGTGAACAAAATATCAAAAATCAAAATAAAGGCAGGATCAGTTGTGTTTGAATGAAGCAATCTATCATATTGGTGGTATGTTTTTCTTTATTTTGAGATATGACGTGAACTTTATTATCTAGACTTCAATTTATTCTCTTAAACACACCCTTTTAACAAATCTCTCATTTTTGTTACCCTGTAGACTTAATTTTCCCTTTTTCCTTTTTCGGGATTCAAGGCTTCTGTGTTATTCACAGACTCTTTATCATTTGATAATTAGTACATCTGTCTTTTATGCCTACCCCTCGGATTGCTGATGGTAGAAATGACTACTTTGTGTACATTTTCTGCCAACTCCATTTCTGTGAGTAGGTATTGAAATACTGCGATATTCAAATGAAATTTTCAAATTATTTAATTCCTACTTTCTAGATTATTTTATTGCTTTGTATGTAACTTTTCATCTATTAAAAGCTTAAACTTCTCCACATTTCCAAACTTTGAAACATAGTGGAAAGAGATAATAATTTATAGACTTGGCAGATTTAGTAATTTGGCAAATTTTTCTTAAGTTGATTTCAGACTTTGTTAAGTCACTGACATCCAGAGGAAGCTTAGTGGTAGGTTCCTGCTTTCAGGAATATTTTAAATGCACTCATTGGAAAATCATGAGGAAATTTTAAAGATATCAAAACTGGAAAAGTTTGCTGGAGAAACTAATAAATTTTGAACTATATATATTAACTTTCTTTATTTCCTAAAGCTTTAATGAGGTTACTGAACACAATACAAAATGTAAAACATTTTTAGGACTAGTAGCTAGAAATATAATGAGAATAATTATGAAGTAAAAGGTTAAAAATCTCTGGGCTCCTTAGAACAGTAGTCTGATGAGTTAAATTATTTACTTCTTCAGATAGTATGTATGCTTCCCTTTCTCCAAGAAGCTTTTCTCAATGACTGGACTCCATTCTTAAGATTTCTGAATATTTGGCATTTTGTTAAATTTATAGTCATTATTGTACTTATGAGTATTAAATGTTGTCTTTTATGTGTTTCTGTGTTCATAATTACTGAAACAGGGTATGCATTGTCTTGTTTTTTTTCCTTTTGCTTTGTTCTCACACACCCTACCTCCTACTATCGTCCTAACTATGATGCCTAGTAATTCAAAAAATGTTTAACTTGTATAGTTTAGCCAGTCAGAACCATAATTTTTTATCTTTATCTTAAAAGAAAAAAAAAATCGTTTCAGAGGCTAAAGAACATTGTGGAGTTATTATAAAATAAGTTATACATTATTTTTGCTAAACAAACTGATAAGGAGATAAAAAGATTGACACTGTTAAAGAGAGGAGAGAATAAACAATAAACCCTGGAAGTACAATATGTGGATTCTCCTCAGCAAATAAGTTTATTGTTATATTGACCAGAGAGGATTCTCTTCCCTCTAAGGCTACGATTGTTCACAGGAAAGGAAATTGATTGACTGATCCTCTGTACTCTATCTGGTGGAAGAAAAGGTGGCATGTATGATGTGATCCTGTCATATTTGAATTCATTTATTGGGCAGAAAACAAAGATATAAAAATATTCATTTTATATATTATGACGAGTATAAAACATTGAACCAAATAGCTGATATTTCCACTAAATGTTTACATTTTGATACAGGCAGTTTCCTCTAACATAGGTCTATCATAATGTTCATTTTACCTTTGCTTCTCATTGGAAGCTTTCCTGGCTGTTCCTATCAAAGCTCTTTAAAAGCCTAGAAGTTAATTTGAGATACTCGACAGTAAGTGTTATATTATTTTGTCATAGAATGTAAAATTATCTTGTTTATAAAATTTAATGAAATAAAAGTTTTCATGATGAGAATTTACTTTTGAATAATGGAGGTAAAAAAAAGTAGCAAATGTCTGCCTTAAAGCTCATTTTGGCCCTTTTTTAAATTGTGCTTTCCAAGCTGTTCTCACTAGTTAAGCTAACTTAAAGCATTTGATGAAAATATTTGCTCTTTTTTCAAAATATGTTTGTAGTTTATGTGTCAACTCATTTGTAGGAATAGTGAATGAAACTTAGTTTTTGGTAACTGTGTCCTTGTGTTTTTTATCTGAGACATCTTTTAAAAAGTCACTCGAAAAACAAAAGAATAACAAGAGTCTCCCACCAGCCAGTATGGATATGTACATGTTTTTGCTATAGAGTATGACACTTCTAAGAATAAAGTTAGTTTTGCTTTTCATTTTTTGCTTTTTTCTCTACAGCCTCATGATTTTGATGAATGTCGGTTTGATATAAGCGTAAATGATAGCGTTTGGTATCTTCGTGCTCAGGATCCAGATCACAGACGACAGTGGATAGATGCGATTGAACAGCACAAGGTAAGGTCTCCAATATTTACCTCTCCATGGGGGACTAGGCAAGAGACTGGTGAAAACGCCATTAAAAAAATCTTGAGATATAATGTGTACTGAAAAGTTAAACATTATTTGGGTGATAAAGATTAAAGCAGTACTGAAGTAAAGTTTTGAAATAATTTTATTTCTGCCATTTGAGCTAAAGAGAATTAGCTATGATAAATATTTTTCATTATTTAAAGCAAAATAATGCCCTTTTTTATAAAACCAATCATGGTTTTCATATTTAGGCTTTACTTTATAATAAATGCTGTTTATATGGTCTGGATAAAAGAATTTTTGAAATAATATTGGATTTTAAAGTCCTTAAATGTAAAGCATCAATGTTAATTTTTGTAGTCATCTGTAACCATTTGGATAAATTCTTAGTGTAACATTTGTAAATCATTTTTTATAATATGAAGCTAATACTAAATCTTTAGAAAGTCTTTTATATAAACATGTAAGCCACATTCTTGTAATTTAAAACTAGTCTTTGACTTCTGTGAATAAGTGGTAAGTAGACTAAAGAAATATATATTAATAAATCTTCATTATTAGCTAATTCAGTATATCATGGTAAAACAAGGAATAGGGGAAGTTATAAGTTCACCATGCCACTCCTGAGTGTGACTTCAAGAGAACTTTGCACTTGTTCACATACTTGTCTGTACTTGTTCATTTAGGTTTCACAGAGTTGTAGTTGAAACACCTCTTTTGGTTAACAGGCATAAAATATGTACACATACATACAAAACAAGAAAAACCAGTCTGGCCTGGAATACCACAGGCACATTTTTCTTGATATTGATCATGCATTAGCTTATATTGCCTGGTTATTGATTCTGAATTTATCCATCTTTTTTTCCCTGTTTTAACTTTAGTATTATACTGCTTTAAACATTTTTGTGACTCCCAGTTAATCTTGGTACCATTACTTTAGAAAAGAGTCTAAAAATAGAAAAATGAGGAACAATTTTTTATTATTTAAAGGAGAGGCAAGTTAGAAATCCAAAATCGCAATGCTTTGAAGTAGACTGGCCTGGATTCGACACTGCAGCCTCTGCCATGTATAACATATGTGACCCTGTGTATGATTATTCACTCTTAGTGTATGTAAGGAATACATGAGATAATATAGGTTACCAGAGTGGCAGACATATCTTCCCATTTATAACATAGTGGAAAAAGAACAGACTTTGGAGTTACAACTAAATTCACTAAATTATACCATGTTGTTTCTGGATGAAGAGTTCTGTATTCAGTGAGAGTTGCTAAATGTGTACATAAGGAGAGTGGCCTACTTCGTGAATTTAATCAGGGCCAGTCCTCTTACTAATGGTTAAAGATGTTATTAAGAACTAATTTTTATATTTTTAGCTGAGATTACTTTTAAAGGTTTAATCAATTGATTTAGATTACAGGCCTAGTTTTTTTTGTTTAATTAAGCATATTTTATTTTGCTTGTTTTTCTTAATAAAGCTGAACCAGAATTCTTTGCATGCTTTCATTTTGTATTTTCTTTTCAAGTGAAGAAGGATGCATGAATCATATATTTCTTCTATATTGTTGATTTCTTTGCATCTTTAAACAATAGATAGGTATAATCTTTGGGTCTCTTTCAGAGCAGTGTGACTTAAGCTGATGTAACAGATTTTTGGTGAATTTAAGTTCTTAGAAAAAAGATTCAATAATAGGATTCCAGATACATTGGTAAACTTTTCCTTTCTGATTTCTAGAGATAGTTTATTCATAGACAAGGAAGGAAGAATTATTGTTAATTGCTATTCTTATTAATACTTAATTATTTCATTTAATGTAAAGTATGTCATATGTGCAAATTAAGCAACATAGCAGTGAAAATTTAAATTATGTGTGAATCCTAAAAATAAATTGTTTGAGTGATTAAACTAACATTTAGGAGGGAGAAAATTCAAATGCTATCACCAAACATAATCAGCAAAGTTTTATTTTTTTTCCATAGACCAGGAACGTGGAGGTAGTAAGGAGGTGTTTTAACTCATTCTTCAGAGTGAATATTGAATGTGGAACCGAAATTTAGCAATTTTACTATTTAAGCATGTATTAAATATTGCTATTCAAAATAACAAATTGTTAAGGAATGATGATAATGATATGAGTTCTACTATTTATTGAGGAACACGAAGTATTTATTGTATTTTGTATTTCATGTACTTTATTTTCTCCCTACTATTCTAAGAAGTGAGGGAAGTATTGTTTTACAAAAGAGGAAATTGAGATTTAGATGAAAATTAAGTAACTTACCTGAGACTATACTACCTTTTAGTTCATGGATTCTTAGGATTCAATTTTGTGTTGGTTCTGCTTTCTATCTTTTACCATTGGTAGACTCTGAAAGTTTGAAGATAATTCCCATGAGCTCGCCTCCTTGCAGGTTAGAGTGTATCATCTGAGTTTTGTTACCATATTTGTGCAAGACAAATAGGAACTCATCTTCCTGCCTATGGATTGTCAAAAAGAGCATTTTATTCTATTGGTTAGTGTTTGAGCATTGGATTCTGGGGTCTGACAAATATGGAATTCAATCCTGGCACTACTACTGTGTGACAGTGATAAGTTACTTAAAGAAGGAAAGATGAGAGTATGCTATATGTATGTGTCTGCCCTGCCCCCCAAAAAAAGATAAACAAGCAAGCAAAATAACACAGTCTTGATAAACCAAGAGTATTGTGCTTCAAAGTTGACCTGGGTTCACATCATTCCTACTCATTTAGTTCACAGTTACTACCTCTTTGCACCATCTGTCCTTAATGATGGTTGGAAAGGACACTTGGAACAGTGGACCTGTCCTTTTCTCTTCTGGTGTCATCAGTTGGGCCTTCATTACCTTTTCTTGCTATTGGGCCTTTTTTAGGGCTTCCCTGACAGGTTTAGGGAATTTTCAATATCTGGAAGAAGTTTGAGGTTTCTTTCCTTTCCTTCCCAAGAAGCCCTTATGCTCATTATAATAACCTCTAGGTATCAGTCTGTTTCTCTCTCTCTCTCTTACCCCCGTCCCTCCTCCCCCCCCCCACCTCTTGCGCGCGCGCGCGCTCTCTCTCTCTCTCTCTCTCTCTCACACACACACACACACACACACACACATACACATACACATACACATACACACACATACACATACCAGGAATTCTGTCTTACAGGACTTCTTCAGCAATAATGGTGGTAATGATAGCTAACATTTTGAGTATTGTGTGCCACATAACACTTTATATACATTATCTCATTTTACTCTCACAATTTATGAGCTTAACATTATTATCTTGTTTTCACAGATTAAGAAATTGAGACATAGAGGGGTTAAGTAATTTGTCCATATCTAACTGCTAATTGGTAAAGGAGCCAGCATTCAGACCCAGGTCTTTCTGACCTGAGAACCAGAACTTTTGGCCAACGAGCACTTCTGCTATCCTATAAGTATATTTATGTGAAATATATTTTGTAGACTTGAATCATGGGTTTCTTAAATCACAATATTATCATATTTTTTATGTGTTCTTCATATCTCTGGTGTTTATTTTAGACCATAAGCTCCTTAAAGACGCAGATATACAACTTCTTAGGAATCAGCAAAGCATTGGGCACATCAATTTTTTTCCTTTTTTTTTTTTTTTTAGGTGAGGCAACCCTTGGCTGACCTCACAGATTGCAGGGACCTTGTCAATTTACAATCCCTTATTTTTTTATTATTTTACACCTGCAGCACCTGGTCTTCCTAGGTGGTCTCCCATCCAAGTACTAACCAGGCCCGACCCTGCTTAGCTTCCGAGGTCAAACGGGATTGGGCTTGTTCAGGGTAGCATGACCATAGACTAATTTTTTTCCCTTTTAATCTTCATAGTTGATGTTAGAATGATTACTCACAGAAATACAGTATAGGGTTCTATGTTCTCTGTCTAGATGCATTTTGTCCTCCTTGGTATTCATTCCAAAATAACATGCTCACTGCAAGATAGATAGATGGATGGATGGATGGATGAATAGATAGATAGATAGATAAATTGATTTATTATTTTTGTTTTTTTAGGCGAAGCAACCCTTGGTTGACCTGACAGATTGCAAAGACCTTGTCAGTTTACAATCCCTTATTTTTTATTTTTCACGTCCACAGCACCTGGTCTTCCTAGGTGGTCTCCCATCCAAGTACTAACCAGGCCCGGCTCTGCTTAGCTTCCGAGATCAGGCGGGATTGGGCTTGTTCAGGGTAGCGTGGCCGTAGACCGCTCGCTGCAAGTTTTAAAAAGATGATTCTATGATTTAAATTTTCTCCATAAGTTAGGAATTGCATAATTCAGTGTGACATTAGAAAGCTATTGTGGAAGAAAGCTATTCCTGAGGTCATTCTTAAATTCGAAGAATCTGTTTCATTTTAAAATACAGTAAGGGATATATGTATACCAGACCAGTAATTTCATTTTGAAATAGTGTGTTGGCTTTATCGTGTGGAGTTTATTCATATTCTGCATTTCTTCTTAGGATTTAAGATAACACAAAATAAACGATTTTTAAAGATAGGGTTTTTTTCTTTTTAAATCTTTTGGAAATCTCCCATGTCGTCTTGAGGTCAGATGAGATGGTGTTTGTGATAGTTATTTAAAAACTAAAAGCTGTATGAATGTAAAGTTAAGATGGTTGTTTTCCATTTAGATTAAACTAATATTTTCTAGTAAATGTGTGTCATTGTATTATCAAAGAGCCTCTGTGAGAATTTACTGCATAATTAGATTACCAAGGAAATGTCATAAATTATCTGTTGATGTTATTTAAAAGAATCATAGATTTTTTTTTCCCTAGAATATTCTACAGTTGCAATATATGTGATTGTGACTAAACTGTTTCTTCTTACCGTGAAAAAAATGTACTACCCCACCCCACCACCCCTCCAAAAAAAAAAAAAAAATTAGCAGGAAGGTTCTCCTGGCACTAGCAGATATAGGAGTCATGTT